CTATCCGGGTTGGTTTGTATGTCAATTTTCTTCCCGCTCACTTTGACCTGGCATAACTTTTGAGCAAAAGCGATTCAGAACGAGCAGAAAATAGCCAATGAAAATAGAGATCTTGCGCTTTCCATTGCACCAATGATCACGCTATTTGGACAACTTTTAGAAAAATTCCGCCAATCCAAAAACAATGGGACAACTATTCCGGACCAGAGTAGTAGTAAAAAACTTAAGGGGGTTTCAACCCTCGACCTTCAGGCTTCCATTACAGAACAACACCGCTAATCAGCCGACACATTATGACACTGCATTGTTTACAGTTTTGGCAGCAATTCTTGCCAACAATTAAAAGGCGAATATTTGGTCGTCTCCTCTCTTAATAGGCGTGTGAAGCACATCTATGATGAGTGCAAGCGTGTGAAGCAGACCTGTGCGGTTGTCCAACTTGTCGGCGGAGTCATGAGAGACGGGTCCAGCGCTTCCTATCGCCATGTGCAAGCTTGAGAAGTGGTCCTAGATATAGATATTGTTGAAACAAAATTCTGTGAATTGTTTCGACCGTTAACATGTGCTGTGTAGTGTGAAGGGTTGTGAATGAAATATCTGTGCTGGAGTTGGGGTTCGAATCCCCATGCGTTATCCTAATTTTCAAGTCGTGTGGCAGCTGTGTAGGACGCTTTCCCAGGCACGAAGCCGTCGTCCGTCTTGGCATCGTAGTGGCCGTAGATCATGCTGAGAATTCGGTCATGTGGTTGCGATGGTAGTAAGGAGGACGGAAAGTTTTCTCTTGGACCATCCATCGGGGCGGGAAAATGAGACGAAGTCAGCGACGGCGCAGCCTGGTAGTCTGTTTGACACGTCAAAACGGTGTAGATGGACGGGTCGGGGTGATCGTAGTTGACTGTGTTCATTGTGCAAAAGTGGTCCAAGTTGTACTTGCACGGCACGTAGTTCCCTGCCACGCCACGACGTTGAAGGGCAAGTACGTCATGGCTGCCGAGAACATCTCGTCAGCAAACTTGGTCACGACTGTGTAGTTGCATTAGCGGTCTTCGTACCACGCGGTGGGGTGCACAAAGTCGCGGGGGTTGGCCAAATAGGTTGCACCAATTGGGCCGAGGTCCGGGAGGATAAATTTACACTTCCAAGACGTAGCTGCGGACGGGATCATAGATATCAATGGTGAAGCGGATGCCGCGTGGAAGAACAAGGATTTCGTGTGGGGAAACGAAGAGCTTGTCCATTTCCGTGGAGACATGCGTGGAAATGCATCGTTATTCCAAGTTGTGGCGGCGCTGCATCACGCGAGAGTGTCCTGACCGATGCGTGTCGCCACATTGAATTCTTAGGGGTGTGCACAGTAAGAAAGAATGGAAAAGTGTCCTTTAACGTCCGCGTCACAAACGTAGGTCCCACCGTATGACGCTGAAAGTCGTTGATTGAGAGAGCGATACTTAATGCCTCGAATTCGATTTGTGCTATCGGCACCATCTGCCCGCGAGCCACTCGCGAAAGATCTTGGCGCGGGCGACGCAAAGATAAATAAGAATGACGCGGGCACACTGCTGGTCGTACGGTGCACATGCATCACATCGTGCGTCATAACTCAATGGATTGTCCACGAGTTGGCGCTACGAGAGTCCAGGATGGGCATCGATTGCCCATCTTGGACTCTCCATGCGTTGGAGCCATTCGTTGCTTCAACGCATGTCCACAATATACTCGGGGACGCCTATTTGGAGTCCAAGTGGATACTCGATGCTCCAGGACTCGATGAGGCAGTGCAGCCCACGATACACCATTTTGAGAGCGTCTGTCCAGGTGTGTGTTGCTCAAGAATTGACAATGCACAAAAATAGATGAAGATTGATTATTGATTCGTTTACCATTTAGGACATGAGCAGGGATATTCAACAAAGGCATTTCGATTGCGTCCCTAACAGGGCTGTCGTACTTCTTTCGGGGGTGAAAAGACGTGTCCATCGACGATGTACAGTGAGTGCCAAAAAGATTTCACACGGTTCAGATTATGATCTTGTGAGTCGTATATCTTTTGATTGACTCGGTCGATTTCACAATGGACAATCGTAAACTGCCTCATCGCCATTCTAGATGTGCTATGGAGTTGCCTTGGCACGTTGTGTGCAGAATTGTACGTCCTCCAGAACATTTGCACGACTTTTTGCAGCATTCTACATCTAGAAGTTTGTATCCAAATTCAGGACATTTCGGGGTGTTCCATATATTTTTATTCAAGCTCAACAATATACGACGAACAGTTTCATGATGCGCTACACTACTGCAACATCATTCATTGGTTCCACGAGCCCATCAATGCTGTCAAGAGCCTCAGATCCCGAGACACGAAGCCCACTACCATTTAAACCTACAATTTCGTGGATTCTTTGCTCGTCCTGCAATCGTCTCTCCATCAGATCATAGC